CCTCCTCAAGGGCTCAGAGTTGAAAAATAAGGACGTCGACAAGGTTTGTCAAGCAGTCTACTACGCAGAGGCTCAGTCAGCAACTTTTGAGCTTGTGGCAACGACCGCAAAACCAACGTTGATACATGCAATCACTCTGTACATCGGCATTGCGACTCTAGGCACCGGGCCAGCCAGCGTACCGATCTTTGACGCGGAGAGTCCAGCTACCAAGGTCATCGAGAGGCTTGTCAAGGACTTCCACCCCGAAGCCAGGTTCCATTTCATTAGCGCCATCGCGAATCAGCTCCGCTTCCCGAACACGCATACTCACTTTTACAGCTACACGCTGCTGCACCTTTTTGGACCCCCGAACGACGATTCGTTAGCGTTGGAAATCCAAGAGACTATCACCAGAGTGCTTTTGGAGCGCCTCCTTGTCCATCGTCCTCACCCCTGGGGTCTCATCATCACGTTGTTGGAGATTCTGAAGAACCCAACATACACGTTCTGGGAATTGCCGTTTGTCAAAGCAGCTCCTGAAGTACGTAATCTTCTTATTACTCTTCTGTCCAACCATACTGACTCGTCTTCTCTTGAAGGTTGAGCGGCTTCTCAACGCACTCTTCACGCATGCCCAGTCGAGTCCACGACCGCTAGCTTAGGCAGCTGGCGGCTCCAACTCGTCATTCAGGGGAAGAGTTCACCTGCAAGGCACAAAAAACCTTCCTCCGTTGTTTTTGCACAAGTAGTCGGACTGTGGGTGCCTTTCGCACGACCGTCATCTTCTTTCCTTCTCGATGTAATACCTTTTCTATGTAGTCACTCGGGCAACTTCTTCAACCTGCTTACGGTATCACGAACTCCATTGGGCTGGCCGGCAAAACAAAGGGGTTAATGACAACAAAGGTATGTGGGGACGACAAAGGTACCGAGATGAACATAGGCTCGGAGGATGACGTTCAGGGTACGTTCAGAGTTCTTGGTATCGTTTTCTCTAGTCTTTGGCCCATGATATAAAAAGCACGGAGTTCTTCGGAATCGACTTGGGGTATTTCTATACCATTCACGGGGATGCGTTACTAGTAGTTATGTCTTGCTGCGCATTTCTTGTAGAATAAGCATTGCTCGGCGAAACTTGTACTGGGAGGGATGTACTGGATGCCAATGCTGTCTTGCCGTCGTCAAGTGCATACATTGTAGGATATTATGAACGGTGTTTTCTGCTTCATCACTTCATCTTCGTTTCCTAATCTACCTGTCTGTCCACCTGTGTTGTTGTGGTAATGTGAGGATATCATGTTCCGAGAAGGTGAGATGGTTTCATATACCGCAGCTGCCGTGTCAAATCTCTCTGTCGCTCTTACATCTTTAGGAGGCGCGCTATCAGCATCGCCGTCCACACAGAGCACGTAACGCAAACGCACATCGTGATAAACAAACATATGCTTTCTTCACCCTCACTGTTCCCCCTCTCGACGAGAGGTCCAAGCTCTTTACCCACTGCTCTCTCACCTTGATCTTTTCTTCTCTTTTTTTCTCACGCGCTGCTACACCCACAAAGCAATTTTTCTTTACTTCCAAAATTACACACGCGAACGAACTCGCTATGGAGGTTCCACCTTTAGGAACCCACTACAACAACGCGACAATGACGCAGCCTGAGCCCGACCTCAACCCGACACCCACGTACCCCGTTGCATATTTCCTCTGTGACGGCGTCACCGACGCGAAGACTCTCAAGGTAAATGCCTTCTCTATTACTGTGTTTGCATTTTGGTGCAGGCATGATGATTTGGCAACACCGTTCGACATTTTATCCTGCCTACTTAGAGATTGAAGTTTCAATCCAACACTTCCAAGATACTCTCACTCAACTAGGAAGGCGACGTAATACTCGAAAAAGACTTCCAACAACTCTCTCTTCTCGCTAACACCATATCCCACCCTCCCAGATCGCGTTATCCCTAACTCGCACACCCAAGCTCCGCAAAGCACGCATACCAGGCTACCGACATTCAGTCCGCTCGGGCGCCGGAGCCAGCACACCAGCATTCGACGCATATAACTCCGGTGAGTGGAGCGGCGAAGAAGTCGTCAAAGGTGTGGTTTTCGAAGCGTTGAACTTGGAGGAAGAGCGCGAGCTCATTAAGTATGTTGGGGGAACTGGAGAGGTCAAACAAGTGGAGATGGAGGTTGCTTGTCCGAGTCTGCTGGGAATGGTAGGAAAGATGATGAGGGTTGGGGGACGGATATTCGTTCCCGAGGGGGATGGGGATACGCTTGTGGGGAGTATGAGGAGCTTTGTGCACGGGGAGGGAAGGTTGGAGCCAGAGGAGATGGATATGGTTGTGAGGAATGGCACGCCGGTTGAGGGTATGGTGATGGGGCAGGACGATGGCGAGGACGACTTATCCGAGACAAGCTCGATGGCTGTTGTCGATGGACACCCGACGCCGCGCAATTCACCTTCAATCTCGACTCTGAACGATACGGACGTTCCACGTCAGTCTCTCGACGGTCTCCCGTTAGCCGTTATCGATGGGTATCTAGAGCCTCAGATCCACAAGCACTCGAACGAACCTCAGATTGAGACTAAAGACTGGGCTACAACAACGGAGTCTGAGATCACCAAGATTACCGAGATCAAGGACATCGAGGGTACTAGGGTTTTGAAGGCGATTATGGAGGCTGAGGAACCCAAAACGGTCGAGGCGGTCGCAGGGACAAGCGAGATTGAGACCACGCCGGTCAAGGATATCAAAGAGACCAAAGCGTACAAGGAGCTTATGGGAACCGAGGACCCTGAAAAGATCGAGGTGATTGAGAAAGCTCAAGAGACTAACGATACCGCCGAGATCGAGGAGTCCAATGACATGGAGGAAATCGGAGAGATCGACGATATCGACGGGGGTAGAGATACTCAGCTAGAGACAGAGTATCAGAGGTTCTTGTTGGCCGAGCACAGAAGAGCAAGGGCTGTCTCTATGAACACGTTTACATCCGGTACCACCACCAAGATTGACGGAGAAGCAAGTGCACCGGCTTCCACGACACAGCCATGGACTCCGTCAATACCATGGCGGAAGGAGCATGCGACCGCGCCTGTACGTCCGGTACTCACAGCGAGAACACCCAGCCAGTTCAGCGCTACTACCACTCGAATGCGCAAGACCAGTGATAGCATCAAGTCTCTGGTCGAGAAGTTTGAGAATATGTCGCCACAGAACACACCCAGCAAACGTACTTGAGCGACGCGACAGACTCAAGTGCGATACAATAGCACCGCTTTGCATTGCTGTTTGTTTCCAAGAAAACTATATACTGGCCTAGGTGTACGGAAGAGTATACGGTGGGCTCTTTGTTCTACTCAGCAAGGCATTTCTGCGTCAACTTGTACTTCTCCAGCTGCACCACGTGTATATCTGCTTGCTTGCTTTAGTCTCATCAAACGACGATGCGCAAAATTTACTTGCTTACCTCATGTTCTGCTCTCCTTGTCTTCGTCGTACACTTACAGCATGTCATCATCAAGTTACAAACTGGCAGCAATCAGGACTGCTTACCTCTCCTATCTCACCTTCTCTGGTTACCTATCTTTGCGATAGTCTCCATTTTAGAGCTTCTTTTTGCTTATGGAGCGTGTGAGGTGCGGAAGTTGTGAGTGGCTGTTCGGTTATGGGTTATCGCGGTACCACTGGCCACCTTCTTTAGACCCTCACCGGATAGCTAGCAGCCCGCTGACCCACTACCTAGACCCTCAATTCTTTCTGGTTAGTTCTAGTCCTAGTTGATGGGTGGTCGCACATGCTGAAGTGGTGATTGGATCTATAATCCTCTTGGTCGGACAAGATCCGCTGTGGACTTCCACAAAGTGAGAGCGGAGCATCACCCAAGCCGTCGCAGAGACGGTCCAGGTGGACACGTTTGGTCAACATGCTGCTTTGGGCACGAGCAGTAGCAATCTTCATATGTATAAGAGGCTTTGACAACTACTAAGGCTGTCAGAATGTAAAGTTTAAACTGAGTTGGGAGAGCATATCTTTGACTCCATTGAGAAATTTCTGGATTTGGGTATAGCCTCCCAGGCGCAGAAATTTAGATCATCGCTTTATGGGCCCACGATAACTGCTCTGACCTTGGTAACCATGCGTTTTTGTATTTCTGCTCTCGCGTGTTCACCCCTGATCGGTATTGTATCGACCTGAGCATTTAAAAAGTCACAGGGAATCTAACAGTCTAAGAAGAAACGGTTTCCAAGATATTTAGGGCAGTGTTGCGTCAATTCTGTCTTGGAAAGAAGACTAAGGTGTCTCAAGCGATAACGGTATGGTGAAAATGCTAAAACTTACGGGACTTCTATGATTAACACTAAAGGAACCTTGAAAACCAAAACGCTCAGGATGCGACACAACTATTTCTGATAATGTATGAATCGTACCAAGTGATATGCCAATAAGGCTGGTCATTAAGTTGGGTCAGTCGTCGGCCTGGCCAAACCTCCACACGTAAGTGGAGCGATATGAATTATATTGGGCACGGAATCTAGAGACTTTGGAACCCTCACTTACATCATTACTTGTACGCTATCCACTGTGTTTCTCGCGTTGCTGACCTAAGCGCCCTTTCTACGCATCTGGGTAATCCATAACGAGAGTCCCTCCTTTCCAGCGGCTACCTTCCTCCCCACCTCCACAAACGGATTTACCCTTCACAAAACAAATCATCCACTAACATATCATATTAATATTCCTTGTCCGGTTCGCATATACGCATAGGACTGAGGTTGTTCGATAACCTTGATCACGGTTACGGGAACATCGACAGCCACTGACACCGTAGGTGTCTCTGCTACTCGATACGGGTGAGCAGCCGTCTAAATCCACAGTATTATCTTCCACACTTGCTGATCACGACGTTCATAGGCCCTGCAGAACTAATCATCACTAAAGCATCCTCGCTCTGAGTCTTCGCTCAACCTTTTCATCCGCGCACCCTGCCTGGCTGCGCAACAGACAACCATGACGGATTCCAATAAAACAGATAACGTTCTTCCTGTTCCTGAAAATCAAAGCACCTCGGGTACCTCTAGCAGCGGCCTTTACTATGGCATTACCATTGAGGACAAACTTTTCATGCTCAATCGAACTCCATACCTGAAGTATTTCCAAGAGCTCCAGAATAACCAACTCGTTACGCCAGATCTTTGGAGAGCGTACACATGGCTAATGCACGATACATTCTCCGTAAACAATCGTGACTGTGCTGTGGAGACTATTGCACGTCTCCTTTGGCCTCCAGGGGCATGGCGTAAAACTAAGGACCAGTTGTTCATATACCTGGACGTAAGTTTACACAACTAAGCCTACATAACTCAGCAAAGAAATTAACCACTAAACCCAGACGCCAAATGGGGCCGACATCAACCAGCGTGCGCTCATCAGAGTGAACTGCCCGGCAAAGAGCCCGGTCGCAACAGTGACACTGTTCGGACAACATGGCCAGCAAGACTTTGACCTCCGCGACTTCTCGCAGCTATACAAGCTCTTCGAAGCGGTGATAGACAGCGAGTTTACCTTGATGCAGAAGCGAATGCAGTGCCTTTCGGATACTCTTTGTTTGATGGGAATGCCAAGTACGTACCACCAAGGCCAATCGTCACTGTCCTTTGCTACAATGTGGATGTGCTTGTATGTAGTGCTTCCTATGGTCGAACAGAATTGCAGGTGGTTGTATGTGCAGAAATGCCGTGCCCCACTTCGCACTCTTGTGCGCACAATCAAGGATCGATCAGGAAGCTCTCGCAAGCCATCAAACAGATCGAGAAAGTGCACCACGCCGTTCAAGACGCCCTTCCAACCAAGTAAGCCCAGTAACCTGCGTTACGAGCTTCTTCAGCGCGAGGAGATTCCCTTCCACTTCATCACATGGCCAAGGATCGAATCCATCACATCACCGAAAGGTCTCACAGAAAGTCTCGACTTGGGAGACTTCATCACTGTAAACGACGAACCAGATTCCGATTACGAAGAATGGCTCTTATTCGTTTCGATGAACTGGGCGGCTCTTCGCCTCATAGACGAGCACATGGCTCCCTTGGCCAAGGAGTTGAGTAGGCTCGGAGTCCTTCTTTCGCGCAGTCGTCGTGGAGCGGATCCGCCTCTCGGTCCTACATCAGGGCAGCTTACACATGAGTGGGTTGGTGAAGACGATAAGATACACATCATCTGTCGCAGAAATGTCTCGGATAAAATCAGGATCTGGATGATAGATGCGGGCCAAGGTCGAAAGAGCTGGGTTATCCAAATCGAGAAGTGTACAGAAAGCACTCGGCCGCCCCTTCCTGTTTTGCGCAAGAAGTGCACACCATTGGTATCGAAATATGTTCTGATCGCACCCAAGAAACCCGGATTGGCAAAATAGCGGAATGGGGGCTGCAAGTGATGAAGATTGTTCCCAATTAGGCCCTGTTGGGTAGTGCAGTAAGACCCCTCTTTGTCCCAGATTATAGTTACAATTACTGGCATATTCCAGCTAGGTGGCCTTCACGTTCTTCCTGCCGCCGGCGACGATGACAGCCGCGATATAATCCTTTTTTCCGTTGTACCCATAATACCCATGATGAAATTCATGAAAATCGTAAACGCCGTATGCGCCAGCCCTCCCAAACCACATCCATCCCCATCAGTACGTCCCACTGTCCACTCTCTTAACCTCCGGTCTCTGTTCCTCTACGCTCTTGGCATAGTACCGGGGCCTTGGTGTCGTCCTCCGCGATCGGCGTGGTTCACGAAAGTTCTCGGATTCCCTTTCTATCCTTAGCATCTCACGCACCTTGCCGTCGAATGTGACGATGATATGGTACGGGATCTGCGGCGAGTTCCGCGCGGACGAGGAAGAGTTGAAGTAAGATCCACCTGCCGATGATGCGGGTGACGAAGGTGTTATGGGTGTAGTAGGCGATGAGCTGCGCGACGATGACGCCGATGACGATTGGGTGTTGATAATAGTAGTAGCGTCCATTTTCAGGTTCGTTGTATGTCGATCGTGTTTTCTGATGGTAGATTAGGGTAGGCCCGAGAGTTTGCGCAGTAGTGTACCGCCTGAATACGAAAGCAATGAACGACCGATCTCCGTATATATGTACTAGCAGCTAATGTACTGCATGTACTTGGAAGACTCCGTTTTTTCCTTTGTTTACAGGTTTGGTTGTCAGGGTTCCAGTAGCCGAATTTTGGCGGATAGTCGGCGTGGTTCTGGAGGCTTTTGAACGGCGTGGTGGAAGAGTTGCGTAGACCCCTGGCAGCGGCGTTAGGGATGATGCTTGTTGAGGGCTTTTTGCAGCTCGGCCGGAGACCCGGGTGCGGGATGGCAGGATGTGGATTGTGGAGGTGCTACTGCTACGTACAAAAAACCTGGAAGTTACCCTTCTGAGAACTTCTCTTTCCTTCTTAGTTTGTGAACGCGATAAAAAGCAATGCTCCGTTTGCTGTTGCGCAAAAATATCGTATGGTAAATAGTTTCGATTAGCGATATACGAAGTTGATGGTGTATTGAATAATAAAAAACTTTCGAAATCAATCATCACCACATGGTACTACTCCCCTCTCCTATTTATCGAAAAGAACCCACATAGGCTGAGTCGGAGTCGAGCCGTCGAACAACACCGCGTCAGCGCACATCCATCATCATCTCTCGGAGGCCCACTGTGGGACGCGTTGCGGTCAGGCCTCCGAGACCGTCCGCACGGCTGCTCGCTGCGCCTCGGCCCTAAGCAAATCGCCAAAACGGCCTCGCAAAACGTGAGATGGCTGCACGTGTGTTACTATGTTTAGGACATGAGTTGTTCGTTCAAGAAGAAAGGTCAGATGGGCGGTGGTGTGCGGATTATCTTTGCTGTGTAGGATAGCGGTGCAGGGCACGGGGAAACTTGGCTGTGCAGATTAGGTTAGGAGAGACGAGGGTTTAGAAAGATTTGTTGCCACTTTGGGCTGTGCCAGGGTGTGGAAGCGAAGAAGAAGAGATGAGCCCCTGCAAATCAGGGCGGAACCTGTTGTTTGAGATGTTCTTTCTTGAAATGAAGAATCTTGAAGATCGCACGTTTGTAGAGATTGAGAGTGGACCTGAATCCGGTGACGGAGGATTGGAGGTGCTATTCGGACCTACTACTTCTGCAGCCCACATGTTCGAGATGTCAGTCTCCCCTCTCCTCTCTCCCATAAAATGGTCGCTGTGACTTGCACACCATACTATATGTTGCCATATAATTTGTCTAATCTTCTACCGGCGCATCCTGATGGGCACTTGAGTCGCTTATTGGCTGCTGCAGTCGCTACTTCCACTGCGAAGGCGTTTATCGAGTCGCAACCAACCCTCCATCTGAATGTCGTTATGATAGTCCATCAATCTTATTTCCACACACTTTACTCGTCAGAATCTCCATCTCAAGATCTCTTTCATAGCCTTGCGCTGATCTCCTCGTACCTATCGCTTGCCACATCGCTAACGCTGCCCTGCATCGGACCCCACCATTCATATCACCCAGCGCCCATTTTTCCGCGGTACGGCTTTCCGAATGACACCAACACTACAAGTGCTGTGCCATGCAAGGTAACCTTAAGTGGACATCAACCACCGCCAACTTGGCAACATGCGGGACGCCCGAGGCTTAGAATGCCCGGTTACCCGTCTTGTTTCCGATCCACGGTTTGACTCTTGTAGCTTCCTGTTCAGAAGACTTGATTGGGAGGTAGAGTCGATGACGTTGGATTTTGGTATTACCATGGTACCACGTGCATTGAGTGAGGGTACTTGACGGCTATGTTGATAAGTACGGAGAGGTAGTGCCTTTCCCAGATTTCGGAGTTGTTGTGGTCCATCACATTCGAGCGTTGCGCATCTCGGCTTTGTTACCTACAGAAGCATCTTGTGCAAGATTTACGAATAACGCATTTTTATACGGCACAGACTGATCGCGCTGGACAGTGCGAATATGGAGAGACAGAAGAAACAACTGCAGCGGGAGAAGTCTCTGCAGCAACACCGACGTAAGTAATATCCAGACGATCCACGAACCTCATCGTTAACCTCAAGTTAGCAAGATACTCTATGAGCGACATACCCGAAGACCCAAACCAACGCCTTGGATCCTCTATTCCTTCATCCCGGAAGCGCGCAGACTCGCATCAACCCCAGTCATCAACTCCACAACATGCGCGACGAACCTCCGAGGAAGAACAGTCATCTCAACAAGCTGTCATTTCTGCGTACCTGAGATCGTCATGTTCTGACGATGACGCGGGGCATCCAAGGAGATTCTCATCAGCTGAGCATTACTATTCGCCGTCGCCAGCACACCACAACTCGCAAGGAGAGATAAGAAGAATAAGCGGGAACTTCAACGCGCCAACGGATATGGAAATAGAGCGACACAAAGACTTCAAAAGGAGTTCGCGTGTGGGGAAGCTCAAGAACGCCGTCAGGGGTCTAGTTAGGGCATGAGGTTTGTTTGGGGCCCAGTACCTGCTTTTTGTCCTACACATCTCATACTCTGTCACGTTCCACGCACTGTCTGCTTTGATGACTAAGATACCCCGTCACTCGTATGCCAATTATCTGTTTCAACTCGTGATCTACATGCTCAGCTTCCAGGTCTTCTTGTGCGACACGGCACGGCCGGTCGTGATGAATGACATCATTGGCCCCATCCATCCTGAACGCCACACATCCTTCGCTTCGCTTGCGCCTCACGTTTCGCTCCTGGCTCCTTCGCCGTCTCCCCGAACAACGTTCATCGCCAACATCACCTCACCAACTGTTCCACATGTCGTTAAATAGTTTATGAGTGCTTTCAGCATCCGCGGAGCATATCCATCAGCCTGTAAGGTTAGGAGAGTTGTTTCCGCACCTCTGCCTCGAAGGCATGATCTTCTGACGAGCTACATATCATTTCCTATCCTGGACTGCGATAGACAAAGCGTGGCTGGGCTGCGCGATGGCGCTACAATGACGTCGCTGAATGCGCAGCATGACTTGGATGATTGTTATGGGTCTGTGTCAGGTACATCATGTGCGTTGTGTGAGTAGGCAACCGTTTAAAGTCTCGAACCTGCATCATCGGCCACATCACGCAACAATAAACACGCTCATCATCGGGACGCTAGTAGTCATACCACACGCGTTCACGTTATTCAAAAAGTTCCTACATTCTGGTTTTCTAGATCCTAAACTACCACTCCCACCTACTATTCTAGATCAAGTCATCGTCAAACACAAATCATGGACCATTACCCAGAGGTCAGCGTCAACGAACGCGAAACCCCTTCCTCTAGAATATCTTCTCGCCACGACTCAGCGTCATCAGTCGCCAAAGCCGCTGCTGCTCATCAAAGGCCCTCTGCCATCGACACACAAGATACCACAACAGCACGAAAGTCATCATACCACTCCTTCCCATCGCCTTCAACGCACTCGTCAGACCACTCGGCGCACCGCTCTGATTCCAACTCAACGACCAACCCGAGCGTTCAACGCATTGAAGCGGAGTACTCACAGTATACGGATGCGCCGCCTCCATACAGCGAGAAGCAGTATGAAGGGAAGAGCGCCGACGAACAAAATCATATGAGGATGACGGACTATGCGAAGGAGATTTCGAGGATGATGGGGCGGCAGCTGGTTAGGGGACTGAAGATTGATGAGAAAGAGAAGGGGAAGAAGGAAGGGAAGACGAATTGATGTCGCTTGCGGCATAACGGTCAGGCTGGTCCTGTTGTCGTTTATACTTGTATGATTAGCACAGCGACGGCGTTTAACATGTTCTTGTTGCGCCTTGAAGTGCGCATGAGGTCTTCGGCTTTGATACTAGTAGCTTACATCAAAGCCATGTTAGTTATCCGTATCTCATACCCTTTTATCGTGACCAATTCGTCTTTCGCCACTTTCTGCAGCTTGTTTCTTGCACAGCCTCATGGTTTTCCCTTGAGCCCCCTCTTGCGGAGCTCTGAAGCTTGTACATTCCTCAAGGCCTCACCCCAAGGCTTCTCATCCAGGATACCCCCCTCTAATTGTAACAACTCCAGCTGCAACGGAATCTTGATCTTCCTCGAGTCGCTCAGGCGCACCGCCCTAAGGAATCGCTCTGCTGTCTCGACCTGCTCCTCTCTTGTAGCGTGGCATGTTCCGATCATGGAATACCATGTTTGATCTGGGTAGCGTGGTGTTGTAAGCTCATGAAGAATACGTATAACCTGTACAGCAGGAAACAGCTTCACTAATTGCGTTGCCGCTGTGACAATATCGCGCCAATGATCCGTAGCTGTGAGAAATTCTTTCCGGAAGTAATTCAGTTCATGAAAGTCGCGGAGGTCGGTGCTATGAATGAACGCCAGCTTCTCGACGAGATGCGCGTATGTTACTGACAATTGGATAATATGCGATCCTGCTACAACGATATGAGACTCGGTAACTGATGTGACACCGGTAAGCTGTAAAGGGTCGTGTGTAGAGTACTTTGGCAAACTCCCAGTGCACTTGTCGGCATGTCCTCATGATGTTGCAGTTCTGAAACATGGTGGGCTGCCGTCCGGGTATGATACAGTCGCCAGCATATGCACCTTTTTTGCGCCATCCGCTTTCATCATGTCTCATGCCGTCGCAGACGCAGACATAGATCATGTCTCTCAGCTCGCGCGGTGGATCGAGAAAACTATGACCATTGTCATTGCCCATCCATTCCCAGGAATTGGGTATAGGTTGCTGTATACAATCAAATGTGATCGAAATATGGTGGTGTGTACTTACGGGATTTGTGTAGGCAAGAGTAAAAGTGTACTCGCGTAAAGCTGCCCTGGATGGAATTTGTGAATCCAGTCCGACGAGCCGGCAATGCTCTGGTGCGGGTGTTAGGGGATTTACGGGATGCAAGGAGCTTATGTCACTTACCGTCAGACTCTGTCACGTCAAATTCACCCTCAAACCTGTCCATGTTATATGGATATTACGCCGAGCTGAACGGCTTTCATGGTGCCTATCAAAGACTTGAGTAAGAGGAGCTTAAGTAGTCTGGTCAAGCATTGACGGGCTAGGAAGAAACTGAGAGATGTTTACGATGACAAAGATGTTCAGAAGATGGTCCTTATCGTAGGCGACACGGCTACTCGAATAACTCGGATGCGACGTACCAATCCCAAGTAAGCAATCAATCGCGTGGGAGCTATAAATGGCGCGCAAAAACCTTCTATTGTTACCCTGGTTTTGACAGTTTAGAATGTGCAGAAGCTACAGGTAGTATCTGCAGAGCGTTTTCCAGGATGTAGCGCTTGACTTGAAAATACGACATGTCACTTCTTCGTACAGCGGGTGAATGCGAGCGCTTACTCAGCAGAGCCGGAGTACCCTAGGAACGCTAAACGCCATGTACCGACTTCAGAGTTGCATCCACCCCAGGCTATGACGCAGGCTGGTGGCATCCACGCGCGTCTGAACATGGGTTCAGAATCACTTTCGTTGGTTTTCTCGTGAGAGCACAGAATGCTTTAATCAATGCTAACGACACAGCAACGCTTATGCGATTGAAGACAACCCAGCTGATATGACAAGTCGCAACGGCCCGGATACGCGTAGCACGCAACGCAACAAGACCTTCCACCCAGCTCATGAACCCGTGAGACACGGGAATGGCCTACGGCTCGAAAGCGATCGCGTCACCGGCCCGATACCTTTCCTCAACCCTACGCGAGCGTATTACCGCCACGATCAGCGCCCTGATGTGCGATACAAGTGGACTTCACGAAATGACCGCAAAGGACGACATGCAGTAGATATCCAATCTAGCCAAGCCAACGCTTCGATGAAGCACGTTACCCCACGCCCGACTACCTCCTTCCGTAGCGTTGCACGCAACATCGGGCATATGCTCACATATTTTCCGATATGGGACGTATCATTCGACGTCGCCTTTGTCTTCACAATAGGCAGTGTAATATGGATATGCAACGCCTTCTTCGTTTATCTGCCGTTGGTGCAACCAAGTTCTGAATTCGAGAACGAGGAATTGTATGGTGGAGGCATAACCGCATTTATTGGAGTCACCGTTTTTGAAGTGGGGTCATTCCTGCTCCTGGCAGAAGCTGTGAACGAGGGTAGATCGGGATGTTTCGGATGGGCAGTGGAACAGGTTCTGTCGCGTGAAGAGGAGGGTGAAGAACGTGTAGCACTGCGACCGTCAAAGTCGCATTGCACACACCATCACAACAAACAGAATTCAGTCAAGAACCGGCAGATGACGCAACGAAAGTCCGATCTGGCGCCCCAGGAGCGTTTGTGGGTCTGGTGGCCGTCAAATGAAGAACTACGAACCCACTACGTTCACAATCTCGGATTCATAGCCTCCTTGTCCCAGCTGCTCGGTGCAACAATCTTCTGGATTGCTGGTCTGACAGCGCTACCTGGCATATACAACCGGATGTCGCAGACCCTTACCATCATCTTCTACTGGACTCCTCAAGTGCTTGGCGGTATAGGTTTCGTCATCTCAGGAGCTCTTTTCATGATCGAGACACAGTCCAAGTGGTGGAAGCCGGCTCCTCGGACACTTGGTTGGTGGGTCGGCGCTTGGAATCTCGTAGGGGGTATAGGCTTCACGTTGTGTCCTGTATTTGGATACGATACCAGGAGCTGGGCGCAATACCAGGCGTCTCTCAGTACTTTCTGGGGTAGTTGGGCCTTCATGATAGGAAGTACGCTTCAATGGTACGAGAGCCTGGAGAAATATCCCGTGGAAGTTGACAGCACCAGGTAGTATATGTTGGTAAATACAAGAGTTTTCCACGCTCTCTTGGTTTGTGATTATCAAGTCTTGTGCTCATATAAACAGCTGGTGGCAGTCAATTATTGCACATCTGTTGATAGTTGTATCGAAACGGAAACCCCTGAAGGTTAGGTGAGTAGGGAGAAGAACCAGTATTGCCCTTGATTTCCCATGTTCATGGCACCGGAAGCATAATCGTTCGCTTTCTTTGTATCTTTCGATGCCAAGCTGTCACAGACCGAATTTCCCATTTAATCAAGTCGCGTCCACTTCGACTAACGTGACCTATTGCGCAATCCCAAGGATGGTTACGGAAGACGACATTGAGAATATTGCTCAAAGGAAGACTAATGCGTCTTCTCCTCCTTACTTCCCACTACCCATAACAACTCGACGTGCTTGACCAGGTGGCATTTATGTAAACTACAGCATAAGAAAGCGATGGCCGGCGGAATTCCCACTCAAACGTTATAGGTGGGCTCTCTTTGAAGGTACATGAAAGAAGGTGCTCCTGACGAGGCTGGGGTTTACGAGTCACTGAGTCGTGGTTACCCGCAAGCAATGTCTTCACTTTGCGATGTTGCTGCTCGTAAATGCTGTCACTTGACTTCACATCGTCGTTGCCCACCATATGCATTGAGCAGTTGCCTGGCACAACATGCATCTTACAGGCTCTTCTCTCGATAGGTCATCCACACACGTTCATCACACTCTACAACTTCATCCTTTTATAAATTGTTACAACCATACACGTATTACAATACGCATATGTACGCCTTCACCTTCGATTAGCCACGCAAAGCTTTTTCGAAGTCACTTTCACTATCGCTAGTCACGCGACAACGCGCCCGTTTGTATTCTGTCATTCGTACCTGAACAGCACTATTTACCATAAGAGATCTCTGTGCTCTCACGACCTTATAGATACCGCGTGAACCTTCGCATCCTGCGCCCTATGTCGCCATCAACTGGCGAGCGAAGACTCGCACGAAACAATTCAATGAGCCCACCATCACCTCTCGCCAACATGAAAACCAATAGATACTACCAAAGCACCTTCATGGATCATCCAGCGCTCAGAAAAACGTCCAAAGGCCCGCGTATATATCGTTCCGCCGATACTTCCAACAAAGGTGTTCCACACATCGCAGGTACAATGAAGATCGTCGTCGGAGCAGAGTCAAAAGATCAACGAACATGGGAACTGCCTAAAGCACTTCTATCACGGCATTCAGATATGTTCAAATCAATCTTCACCGCAGACACAGTGTCAGAGGTTCAGCTCCCAACAATCAGTCCCGACGCCTTCGCCAATTTCTCTTCGTACATGCACTCGAGCATCTACAGCACTAATACAAAGGTCGCTGGATACCGCAGTATACGAGCACACGCCAATGCCTGTCTCCTCGCCGCCAAGCTCGAAGCAGATAAGTACTGGGAAGCAGCTATGCGGCAACTATACAGCCTCTTATTGCCACTCGCTCGGTCGAGGAGATCCGACGCGAAACAATCCTTTATTCGAGCGGGTGATATCGAATACATATGCGTCAATGCCACTGCCGAGAAGCTAAAACGTTCAATCATCATTGACTCAAGTCCCTTCGCAAACGATAATCCCTTCAACTCGGAGATCAGGCCTACGGTCAAAGATAGTCTCCCCGATGCTCCGCCTCTTCCTCCAAGAAAAGGCTACCACAGTCACGACGTCGGCGCCATGGAAGGGCTCCGCACACTCTTCTTTGACGCTCTAGCTTCACACTGGACACAGTATGATGTCATCTACATCGGCGCGCAGGACTCGCCACGCGGTGGTGGATTCAACAAAAACGATGTTCCAGGTGATACTACTACATGGCGACAAGTGTGTGATACGTACCCGGATTTTCACGCCCATATCGGGAAGACCACGGGGCATGCTAATGCTTGGAGGACCGCTCTATTGAGGCATATTGATGTCTATCTTGATCCTGCTGATCCACAGCTTCTTGGACAGCAAGGACGTAGGAACGATGGGGTCACGATCAAAATAGAGGATGTTGATGAGATCAAGGAAGAAGAGGTTGACGATGACGATGAGCTGGAGATGGAAAAAGCCACCCGACGCCCAAAGCTTACGCTCAAACTCACGGGTTTGAGGCGGAGCAACAGCAGGGAGAGGACTGAGAATTCAGAGGAGGTGGCGTTGAGCGGTGTGAAGCGGGAGAGCGAAGACGAGATACTTGAAGATGGTGAAATTAATGAGAGTGAAGGGAGTACGCTTGTAGATGGAGAGACTGAGGGCAGAGAGGAAGCACCTGAAGATAGGATGAATCAAGACGAGGAAATGGCAGAGGGTATGGATGATGAGATTGAGGAGGAGCCAACTTCTGCTGGGTATTAGTACACCATAAAGGTGTTCGCACACACCGTCAAGGCGTTCGTAGATATCATTCGCGAGTGCATTTGTTGTTGAAGTTGGCAGCTCTCAAATATGAACTAATTGTTGATACTTCTGGTGGACTGCTCTCGCAATATGCTCATAAAGCAAAGAAATACAAATGCATTGTGGAAGTGCTGTGAAGTTCTCGGGATGACAGGCCATGAGCGCATATATCGGTGGCTGCTGCATCCAGTTGGAAATTTTAATGCGTATTGCTCTCGTTGTCTATTTCTGGTATCCTGCTCCGTCACTTAGTTACGAAAGAGCTCGTTTTTAATAAGTTGCACCCCAAATACTAAAAATGCCCCACAAGGGTATACATAGTAATCCACATCATGATTCCACTAGGAAGATAGTAGTGTATATCTTTAGAGTCTATTTTGGTGTTTGCCTAGGTAGGGTACAATTTATTAGAAACGAGCTTCTTCATAGTTCACAGTAGCATGATGATTTCCAGGCAATGAGACATTCGTGCATGCGAGGCTGCCACCAGCGTCAAGGCATCAGTCTACCTTGTGGATGCATGATTTCCCACATCATCGGGCGTTCTGATCCTCGGAAGTTGGTGTTGAGCCCTTGTCGATGTGATCAGTACCTACGGCATGCGTATCACAGCGGCAAAGGTAAGGAGCCTCACCATAAGCACGCATCTGTCACGAGCGTCTACGGACATCGGTCCGGTCTCAACTGCCTCTCCTCCAAGGTTGAGTCAAACCTACCGTTAGTCATGACCACCGTCTCAGAACCGTAAAAGACGGTGGTTGCTAAACTGGTGGCCTCGGGCCTCGCCACACCGATGCAGCTGCCACCAGCGCCTACTTACAGACCACCCAAATCACATCCCTCCGTATCAGCAAGGCGGCCACGAACCACTCATCCGACCATAAGCGCGCTCTATTCATGGCGTTGAGGAATCGAGTGGATGTGAACCTGCACAAGAACCAGTCACGCAACCGCCCGTCCCCTAAACAACGAGGGACCTTTTCTTAGGCCCACCCCCGCAGCGCCGCGTAACCGCATCGATGACCTGCAGTAGTTTCTTACCCGTGCCGCTCCCTGGATCTCGAAAAAAAGAAGCCAGAGCCAGACGGAATGTAAACATGAACTTAGTGTTGATGACCCGAGGACCCAGACGGCCTCAGGGCGTAACGCGCACGCGTTGTTGGCGGCGCAATTTTCTTCGTCAGCTGTGGTGCATCATCAACGACCTCTTTCCGTGATGCGACCGTTAAGGCAGTCAATCAGCCATCAAAGTGCATACCACCCAATCCCATGTCGTCAGCTGATAGGATGCAGGATGTGTAGTGTAAAGAATGGGTGGGGCAAAATGTCGCCGCACTGCTGAAATCTTTTTTGTAAAGATGAGGCTGTTTCGTATTATGTTTTGTGCTGATGGGAGCTGGGTGGAGCAACGAGAAGGAAGCGAGTGGTGAGGCAGACGGCCACCGCCGCACTGCCGACCTGAGCGAGGCGGCCGACGAGGATCCCGTGGCTATGTATACACTGCGCAGTCGCCCAGTTAAGTGCGAGGGTTGACCTTGTGTAAGAGCTGGGTATGAGGCTGCTCGCCATTGCTGATGCATGGTGGACGCTGTAGGAGTGCGAAACATGTGGGTACCGTCAGGCTGGCGCGGGTATTGGGTTTGACGGGAGCTGGTGCTGGTGGACGGAGTGAATATTTAGGGCTGTAGGGAGTTGATCAGGTAGCGATTAGCTATGCGGTGGGCGAAACATTTGGGGTAGAGGGATACGCTAGCTGTATTCATGAGGCTGTTGTTGCTTCGTGATGGGGTGCACAGTAAGACGGTGTACACAGTAAGACGGTGTACACAGTAAGCAGCTCACGTGTCGACTGTCACTTTCAGACAATGTTTTCTTGCGCTATGTACAAGACACCGCGTTCTTGCTGTTTTACAATAATGCTATTTTAAGACATACATCGTGTCGATGGTAATGTTCATACACATGTTGCGGTGTCCTTCTACAGCGATCGGACATGCCTTGATGGCTGGACAAAGACCATGTAAGAACCGAGTGCGAAGACCGAGTGCGCAAGAATTTTCGTGCATTGCGCCGAACTTGCTCAAAGCCGTCAACCACTTCATCATGCATTCTGATGATCCTCTGTCTCGAAGCCGGAGTTTTGCCCTTTAATCGGACCTTACCATGGGAGACGATGAGAGACGACGGGAGATTACTCGTGGCCGCTGTGATCTGCAGACCCTCAGCGAGGCTCAGATCGAAAAATCCCATCCATAATCACTACTAAGCTTATCGTGAGCGGCTGTACTCGACCAGAAAAGCCATGGAACAACACAACAGAACCGCAAAAGGTCCGAAGTCCCTGCCGATCCAATCTCCTCGCGGGTTGCTCGCCTGTAGAGTTTGGTTCGGTGGTTAGTTGCCGCCGACTAAAGGCTGCTAAGGATGAGTGTTTCGTCGTCCATCTCGATTGCTCGCAAAGGACGCGTTCGACCAAGATAGGGTCTCACAATTGACGCGTTAGAGTTCACGCAGCGCCAAAGAGCCGGACCCCATACGGAGACTCCAGATGCCGCTCCAGTGAACTACGGTGGAGAACACGGGTGGCTTTGAATTCAACGTGTTTGGTGAAGGTTCCATTCTGTCGTTATTGTTGGTCGGCCGCGCTCGCATGCTGTTGGGACTGGCATGTTGACCAGGTATGTTGACGAGTAATCTAAACACGCAGGAGGTCTGGAATAAATTCTGGTTGCTAAGGTACCAACCTAAGAGCAATGTATTTGATAATGTTGGTTGGCATGTGAAGAACATTTCCATAACGGCAGATCCGACCCTGAAACCTCGCTGAAGTGGATAACTACGTATTTGTTACGGAGCATACAAAACCTGCGTATACATGTGGATGCTGATCGGACCCTTGCGATGCGGTTTCTTCGGAAGCGCGATTTAGAGATCTGACCTCAGCGTGCTGTATCAGAATAAAGTGATGTACAGGGTCTTGCATCACCGGCCGCCCATTGTGATGACGTCTTGAGCGGGCATCAACACTGGAGACGCGCAAGCTAACCCAAGAGATCATCAGCTAGTAAACGGCGTGCGTAAACTTTACATGAAATCGTAAGATGGAATCCACCTGGGGGGGCAAACTTGGTGTGTCGGAACGGAACGCCCCAAGTGTGTAGTTATTGTAATGCATAATGATATGGCCCTTGGAAAGCTTCCGGAGTTTGGTCCTTCCATAGCAACAGCGAAACCTTGGATGACTGCATGCCTGGCGATCAACCAAGGAATGTTCGGACCGATTCTGAGCGGTGTATACTATATTTTGCTATACGGCACGCTCGACCAATGGTAATGCAGATAGCTGCAAAGCATGAGCTGACGATTGACGGTTTGTCGGCACTTTCTCAGTCGCCAGAAGCTGCCATTTCCGGCGGAGCCAAACAAAAGCTGAGTAACACGAGGAAAACGAGGCTGGCATGCTGGCAACGAAAATCTTTGAGTGTCTGGAATTCACTGGACCTGCAAGTGGGTGAATGATCTTCGACCATGGTCACTGGCGCCGTCTTTTGTTACCTCCAGCCGCCGACGCCACGTCGCAAGATCTGTTAGCCATCTTTACTCTTACGATGAATACGGCAGATCGATTGGACCTTCCCTCGATCACACAGCTGCCGTTAGAGTTTGAGGGCGCAGGAGGTTGAGATGGCGGGGCAGATTTAGTTTTGGTGGATGTCAGAGGTTTGATCTTATCCACTAGTTATCGATAAGGTCTGGGGCTTATCCTGTAAAATCCTGGATAGCATTTGGCGGTGAATATGCGACTCTCGACCACCTCCACTGAAACGCTCGAGCTTTGTGGAGAACGCCTGTCCGGCAAGGAAAGCATGCACGATTCTGAATCAGCGGGATCGAAAGCGCGCATAGAGCAGCCTATGGCGGGTCGAACGGATCAAAGCAGACAGCATGATACGAAGCAGCTCGTTTTTCACGAGTTGTGCCCGTAGACACCAAAACTTACTCTACAGGTACCTGCTAAGTTTTTTTTTGGCTTGCAGAGGCTGAAGGCGGGTGACAACGTATTCTTCAGGGGGTGCCTTAGTCTTGCTTGCAACTTGCAAAGAACGAGCGTCTTCGTACTTGGTACGAGTGGGCACTACCTAGGTATTGCAAATTGCACGTTGCTGTGCATCACGCTCACAAGTTACCCAGTCACAAAATATGCGCTCTATGAAGAGATTGCTAGCGGCTTGACAAATTACCACACACACCGAGCGGCCGAGCTTTCACCCGTGGCCATGTTCGTGGGAACGGTTGCTTCATTTCGAATACCAACAAAGTTTCTGGCCATGATAGTGACCCGCAACCAGCGCAAGAGAACAATTTCGCTCAGGACATGATCTTCGGTCCCTTTCACTCACAGACTCCCGCTCGTAAGTTTAGCCTACGGGAGGCGGACTTGGCTGGTATCTGTGCCCATGCACGGATGACGCCGGGGGGGTAGGAAAAGAATTGAAAGCTGCAGGTGCTTGCACGGCTATCTCGCTTGCGCTGGGGTCAGCATCGCAATCTGGTGCTCATCCCAGCTCTTGCGACTCATATATGGACACAATGAGTCGGTTATTCTGTCAACGGGCATGGATACGGGATGAGATACGAGCCGGTAGAACGCTCTGCTTCTCGATCTGGAAGCCATGGAACATGTTCTTCTCGTTGGGAGCTGCACGATGACTGGCAAACCACGGATGAGCAAAAGTTCGCCCCAACGTGTTGCGCAAGAAGCCACGACATCAACAGCTGAGCGAATAGCCGGTGTGAGTGGAACAGCAAGACAATCTTAGGCGGTGACTGCCAGGTCACAAGGCCATGACTGGATTGAAACAACACGTAGGTCTAGGGATGACTCGAATGATGATTGGCACAAAAGTACAAAATAATCTCCGCCTTAATTGGCTAGGCGGAGCAGTCTCGAAAATTCT